GGAATAGAATCATACAGAATTTCAGCAAAATAGATAATGATGTTAAGAGAAAAGCCACCCAACTCCATGGAAGTCCTATTTATTACTGTTAATAGAGCTGCACCCCTCTCAAAGAGAACTCTGATCTGGGGGTCCTTTCAGACTTACAGATCTTGCTAGAATAGCAAGTGGAAGCCATGCCCAGAAGATGCTCTGGCAGCTTCAGTTGCTCAGCCAAAACTGTCCTGGAGAGCAGATGACAAAGACAGTGACTCAGTCCCTTGTCATGAAGAAGACAGTCTCATGCTCTTGGGTCAGCTAAATTAATGCAATTCATTTAATATGGGACTGCCCTTGAAGATAACCCAGAAATAGCAAATGGCACAAAATGCAGCTGCTCACCTAACTGACTTGCATTAATCAATTCAGTAGATTAATCCCTGCTTTGGAGAGGGTTTATTAGCAATAGCGCCATTGGTGGGATTCAAAAAGTTTTACCACCAGTTCGATGGGCATAGCTTGGTCGGCGCGCTTTGCACGCGTGCACACACTTTGCGTGTGCCCGTGTGCCAAATGCACACTTTGCGCAGCTGCAGAGGCGTTTGTACAGGCACAGAGGCATTCCAACTCACCTCCTGCAAGCCTGCACTCTCCTGGTCACTTCTGCTGTGCCAAAGCAGAGGATAAAGGTGAGTATGGGAGCCCGGGTGGGCCCAACAGAACAGTGGTGAAGAGAACTGGTTCGTTCTCTACTGCTCATCACCGCTACCAGCTCGGCAGAACTGATAGAATACCACCACTGAATAGCACTTAAGATGTATATACCGCTTCACAGTGTTTTACAGTCCTCTCTAAGTAGATTTAGGCTGCAATACTGCATTCTAACTGCTACACTACCAGGTCCTATTCAGAGTGTTGCTGGCTACCGATACAGTTGACATTACATGGTCTAAGTCAGAAGGGGGATTGTGAGTACTTTATCCAAAACATGAAGGAAACAAGAACCTAGAAGACAGCTTGCTCGTTATCTCTACTTCCCAAACAGTCTGCCCATTAAAGTCAAGGTATCTGGTAACTTCATTTAGATGTGACAAGAACAATTCTTTTTTTGTGTGGCTTTTAGAATGGAAGGCACTCAATAGTTGACAGGAAGATATTTTGGATAGTACTCTATTTTATATGGAATTGTTTATTACATTTTCTACACCAGGGATGTCAAACTCGAGGCTTGTGGGCCAGATGCATCATGTGCTGGCCACGCCCACACCCAGTTTAGCAAAAGGGGAAAAGTCTCGATACATCACATGATGCTGCCCTGATGATGCAATTTTGACAAGCGGGTTCTACACGGACAGAATTGACAGGCTCTAGATGCCATTCATTAAGCAGAATCATCTGATGGGCCTAGGAACAATGCCTTCTCTGTTAAAGCACCTGCCCTTCAGAACACCATTCCCTCCGAGATACATCTGGCCTCTATTTGGCCAAGTCCAAAAGAGTTCTGAAAATCTGGTTTTCTCTATAAGAGAATTCCAATTTAGAATGATCACAAAGTTATATACTCATGTTTAAGTGCCAAATCCCACTGCAATGGTAAATATGGACGTGTTTCTGTATCTCACAACTGGGAACCTAGTATCTACTCAAATGTATTTTTACATATATTTTTCAAACACACATCCACAGACATATACACTATTTCAGTTAATAACACAAACATGAAAAACACAGTTTTTATTGTCAATAGATTACAGATTAGATCTTCTAGAACTATTTAATGTTACATCACCAAAGCCAATTTGCCATAACTTTGCCATTTTTTCTTGCTGCACAGCATACTTTATGGACATTCTCTGTGAACTAATCAGAACTAATGGTTGTTTCACTTTTATACATATATTCCTAATAGCACCTTCCAGATATATGGGATCTAGAATTCACAAATATACACAGACATTTCTGAAAATGTTGGGACAGTATGAGGTAGTCAATTGATCAAAACAGAATATTCTGATTGCAACATTTCAGGTGCTCAAGCAAAAAAAAATGATAAAGGTAAACTGATACACTGTATATGTTCTTAAAAAGTAAAACCACATAACACAACTGCTCATCCCACAGCAACAGCAATATAGTATAAAAATATGCAGTATTTTAGCAATCTCCATACTCTTAAGCCAACTGTCAAGTTTTAAATTTTATTATATCATCGGGGATAACTACAAATTGACAATCCTAAAACTAAATAGTGAAACAATTAGTATCTTTGAATGGGAGAAGATAGCAATAGATTAAAAATGTGGTTGCTTAATAGCCGCACAAATATCCACATATCTCTTTCCATCATGCTTGACCAGCAGAAGAAAGAAGAAATGCTATACTAATGCTATTGTCAAAGTAGCAATAGCAGCATTATCATACTCAACGACGTCCTTAATACTATTACATCTATATGGAGGGAAGTAAGCAGTAGGGGTACCACAAGGATTTGTCTTAGGGCCAATACTCTTCAGCACCTTCATAAATGATTTAGATGAGGAAATAGAAGGGGAACCCATCAAATTTGCAGGTGACACTAAGCTGGCAGGAATGGTCAACACCCCAGAAGACAGGCTCAGGATCCAAAAAGAACTTGACAGACTTAAACAATGAGCTCTATCCAACAAAATGAAATTTAATGTGGAGAAAAGCAATGTTTACACCTTGGCAGGAAAAACCAAAGTATAGATTAGGTGAAACTTGGCTCAAAATCAGTAACTGTGAGAGGAAGCCGTAGTAGACAATCTCATAAGCATGAGGCAGCAGTATGCAACAGCAACCAAAAAAGCTAATACAATCCTTGGTTGTATAAATAGAGGCGTAGAATCAAGATCACATGAAGTATTAGTACCCTCCCTTTATAAATCCTTAGTAAGAGCACACCTGGAATACTGCATCGAGTTTTGGTCACCACATTACAAAAAAAAGACGTTGAGACTTTGGAAAAAGTGCAAAGAAGGGCAACTAAGATTATTAAAGGCCTGAAGATAAAAAAATATGGAGATAGTAGGAATTGGGTATGGCTAGTCTAGAGAAAAGAAGGACTAGAGGCAGGGATGGGATACGACAGGGTTAACTACCAGTTCAGGATTTACAAGCTTTCCTGCAGGCTGCGAGCCACACGCCTGTAAATCATCATCAGCTGCCTGCAGAGAAGCAGCCTTTGAAACAGCCCTCTTTTCCTGCTTTTCTAACTGCAGCTGTGCCTCCTTCGGCAGCTGAAGTTGAAAAACCAGGAAATAAAGATTAGGTAAGAGCCCGGCAGAACCGGTTCTATATCTGCTGCTCTTCATATCTACCAGTTCTACAGAGGTGGATAGAACCGGTAGAAACCCACCCCTGACTAGCGGTGACATGATAGCAGTATTCCAGTATTTAAGGGGCTGCCTGAGGGGGTCAACTTATTTTCCAAAGCATCGAAAGACAAGACAAGAAACAATGGATGGAAACTAATCAAGGAGAGAAGCAACTTGGAATTAAGGAGAAACTTCCTAACTGTGAGAACAATTAACCAGTGGAACAGCTTGCTTTCAGAAGTTATAGGTGCTTCATCACTGGAGGTTTTAAAGAAAAGACTAGACAGCCACCTGTTTGAAATTGTATAGGATCTCCTGCTTGAGCAGGGGGTTGGACTAGACGACCTCCAAGTTCCCTTCCAGCTCTATTCTGATTGACTTATACAACTCTTGCAAATCCTATACAGCAGTTCTTGACTTGGGACTAGTTGTTTAACAATTGTTAAATGTTACAATAGCCACTGAAACAGATTGTGTAAAATGTCGCTCCATCAACCTGCCATGACATGACATTTTGGGCACTTGGCAACTGGCTCACATCTGCAACCAATTCTCAACCACCTTGCAATCATTTGATCGCCATTTGCAATCTTCTCTGTCGACTTTCACACAAAGTCAATGGAAAAGCCAGCATGAAAGGTTGCAAGTAGCGGGGACCTGAAATCTTTCTACAAGCTACAAAAATGGAGTTGAAATCTTGCATGGACGAGAAATTCTTTGGTGGGCTGCAGGATTAAAGCTGAAGTTCTGAAGATTTCAGCTTGTTCTTGTAGCCTCAAGAAGGATTTCCCCTCTGTGCAGAGTTGAAGGAACATTTCAGGATGAAACCCTCTGGCAGACAGCAGTTTCCAGCCATCTACGTCACTATCCAGGAGTCCTGGAATTGTGACTGTTGAGCGAAGCAATGATGCTTAATGACTGCTTTGCTCAATGACTAAGATGCTGGTCCCAATTATGTTGTTAAACAAGAACTACAATAACCAGACTTGTTAAGATGTTGGTAGGACTGAAAAGAGAAAACAGTAGGTTATGTCTTGACAGGTCTACTTCTTGGCTATAAATATGCCAAAAATGTTTCACTTTATGCTATAGACAGAATGCATGAAATGACCAAGCATGGTTCTTGCAGGATATAAAGGAAAGCTTGAGTATAGGACTTAAGAATTAGAAGGATGCTTGCTCAAAGCATCAGGGTTGCTTCTTGATCATTTAGCCTGTGAGTTGGAAATCTCCATTATGGTTCTACAGAGAGATTAGGAGAATAACAAGGTGGTTGGTAAAATTTTAGCAATTTATCTTTTATTCTCTAAATTGTGTTAAAACCTAACATTTATTCTATAATTAGAATTAGTATATTATTAGAGACTTGAAAAATTAAAAATAACAGAAGAAACAACTTTCACAGAGAATTTAAATACGAATTTGTCACATTTTAGAAAAATTACTATGTTAAATATAATTTGTTTACTCAACATATATCACAGGTATCAAATTTGCTGCATCACATAGCCATCACATGATGTATCACAACATTTTTCCCCTTCATAGAACTGGGATGGGTGTGGCCTGTGCATGACAGCCCACGGGCCACCAGTTTGACACCCCTGACATTTCAAAACAGAAAATATCAAATGTCTACATTCATAAAAATGAAATGTAATTAATATAATTAAATCAAGACATTACCTTAATCAATGAAATAAGCCTCCATGTGCCAGCCAGCAATAGAATCTCAAAGATCATGCTCAAATTTGTAGTGCAGCCATGTAATAAATTAGTTATGTCTTATCAAGTTAATGTGAAAACAAATCTTGGACCTGAAAAGAAGACAAAGAAGTAAAATAGAAGTTCCCCTCTATTATTATGCAAAAATGTTTGTACTGCTTTAAGACAAGGCTGTCAAAACTCACGACCCATGAGCCGGGTGCTGGCCACGCCCATGCCGTTTAGTGAAGGGGGGAAAGTTGTCATATATCACATGACACTGCCCTGACACCGCGAGTTTGACACTCCTGCTTTAAGACATAAAAAACTGTCAACTTACTGGATCTGTCAAGAGTTTGATTTTTTAATTCTGTATCTTATTAATTTTCCAAGCACAGACTACAAGTTGCACAAAAAGTGAAAATATCTACTCAAATGAAGAAAAAAATCCAAGCAATACTGAAGCAAGATCTTTATTAGTCCAGTTCAAGATTACTGGATAGCATTCAAGCATTCAAGTTTTGAATAATTCTCTATCAGACAATATAGTAAAAACAAGGAGACAAGTGCACACTGGAAATATGGAAAAGTTATGACTGGTATTCAAATAAACACTAAGTAAAACTTTTCTTTTTTCTTGGCATTTAATAAAAATACCGATTGTGCTCACAATATTTTGGAGAATGGAAGTTTGAAAATGAGGCTTAAAAATAATCCTAACTTTCTGCAAAGTTGGCCATATTCTTCCAATCAAGCAAATACCTGTCAACAGCTATGGAAAGTTAAACAATTCAGAGAAAGAAGGCCATGAACAGATGTGGACAATACAATCACATGTCATATCAGAAAAAGATAAGAAAATATGCTGTATCTTTCTACACTTCCTCTCACATTCACCAATCACCTGATTAGACTGCAAAATGAAGGAAGAGTAAAACTATTCCATCATCTCAGTATTGCAAACACCCAGCTTTGGTTCTCTATCAGCTATTACCTATGGACAGCAATTCTAACAAGCTACCTAGTGTTTCTATATGTGGACAGAATAAACACTGGTGTCTGAGTTTTGTTTTTCCCATCCTTCTTTCCCATTCATTTAACTTTGTCATGTCTTTTAGATAAGCATTACAGCAGGGGCAATCATGTTGCAGTTAGCCATAACCACTAATTTAAAATAAAATGTGTGTCTCCAAAAAGAGATAACATGTACTCAGATAATTGTTTCCAATTCAAACAACCACAATTTCAATATTTTAATTTATTTTCATAAGTGTTTTGTATTTTTATTGTAGTTCTTGATAATGTAGTTTCAAAGACAAAGCACAGAAACATCCACCTCAATAATTTCTTGCTTACATTTCCTTCCAGACTATATAGGGAATTCTGACCACAATGACTTAAGTACAAATCCCAAATATTTAAGGCAGTGTTTCTCCACCTTTCTTAAATCTCACTATCAATCTCACTGTCTAACAACAAAAAAACAATTTTCCAAGAATGTTAACGTTCTGTTCTTATAACTTTCAAGGGCATTTGTGTCAACAACTTACCCCTTTTTTAACATAGTTTTTTTAAAGTCCATCTAACTATGCATGCCACTATCAACAGAGATTCTGAGATGTAGAATTGATGCAAGGAATATGGTAATTCTGATTTAATTACTTTAATTATTTAATTAATTATTGCCATATTAGGACAAGTGTAAATAACTAGTTTGTAGTTTGAGACAGAAATTATGTATGATAAAATGTTTACTCCTGGGTTCTCTTAAACTATATAAGCACATGAATTCCACAGGGAACTGGAATGAAGAAATGAGGTGTACTTGGCTTCAGTTCTAGTATAGCAATCTTGCAACAATCACTATTGCAAGATAGACAAACCAACTACAAGTTTCCCAATCAACTATTCATATTAGTTAATTGGTTTGAGCCAGGCTTTCCACTTCTATTTTTCAACAATGCTTTATGTCGGTTTTAAAAAGAACTACAGAAACGAAACTATTTAACATTAACTGTCACTCCTACATTGTTAGTCCTGAACCACCACCTCTGACTTTTTTACTCACTTTTTTTACTGTCTTCTCAGTGACTATCAAGATGACCTGTGTTGAGGAATTGACGTAATATAGCAAAACTTACATTTTAAGGTGGTAAGGCTGATCGGCCAACAATAGGTTATATGTTCTACTATACAATACTATTACGTGGATATTCTCACTCATACACGTAACCCTTGCTTCTCCAGCAGCAGTATTCTAACCAGATCACTGAAGGTACTTCCTTAAACTTAGGTTTCTAACACAGAAGCTAGCAATAATTCCATTAAGCAGAACAGGAAAGGAAAATTCCACCTTATTTTATGCTGACATCATGTGTACTTCAGAAACAGCTTATTTGACCTAAGCTTTAAAAAACATTTAGTTTAGGTGTCATAGTAGCATCCAATTTCCCACATTGCATCCACTTATATCTCTCTTTTGCCTTTTCAACCTGTGCTAGCTTGCTAGCCTGTCTCTAGTAAGGCAATTTGAAACCAGTTATCGCCTAAACCTGTTAAAAAAATATTCAAATAGCATGGTAAAATGTCAACTATTTCAAAGGCTGGTCTAATCTGTCGTTTGAATACCAAATATTTCCAATTAAATATTTGGTGTTCCTTTACTAGCAGTTAAAGCATTGCTGTACAATTGCAGGAAAATATTGTTATTTAAGCATGCCCCTTAGAGGTTAGTTTTCTAAAGGAATTACAACGACGGTTATACATCGGGGGTTTTTAAAATTGGGGAAGTACATGAATTCCTTTCAAGTAATTGTATTTTTAGGGGGAGGAGAAGCCGTAGTCCTTTGGCCTTTCTATACATAAACGATTACTGTATCTCCTCCCCTCCCCAATTAATAATTATGGCTGAATGTGGAAAACATTTCTCCGTCAGTTGGGAATGAACTTTTGCTTGAAGTGGTGTAGGGTTTCCCGCCTAAGCAGGGGGTTGGACTAGAAGACCTCCAAAGTCCCTTCCAACTCTATTCTATTTGACGTCCTTCTTTGGCCTGGGTTACCTTTCTCTTTTGTAGGAAGCGCGGCTTTCCTCCCCAGTTACTTAGAGGCTTTGGTTTAAGGTGGCGTTGCTTTACGCCGCCCTCCTCCTCCTCCTGCAAGCGAGAGGTGCCTCGGAGACTCGGCCGGGAAAGAGGGCAGTCGATTGCTGAGAAGTTCTTTCCCGGAAAACTTATCGGGGTGCTCCTGCGATCCCCAGGGACTACTCACTTTCCCCGAAGAGCCCCCTCGCGTGCTCTAGGGGAGAAGGACCAGGGCACAGCCTGAGGAACGAACCTCTTCGGGACGGTCTGGGGGGGGGGGGATCTGCCCGGAGGCTTCGGCGAACAAGGCGGGCCCCACGGTTCGCGGCTGGTTCCCCCTCTGGCCGCCCAGCGGGCAGCTCAGGGGAGACAATGGCCACGATGACTTCACTCCCCAGCAATGTGAGGAGCCGCCGCCGCCGCCACCACCACCACCGCCGCCGCCGCCTAAGCTCTCTCCGCGCCCGGGAGCCGAGCCGAGCGAAGCCCCGAAAGCGAAACGCGCCTCCTTCCCAGCCGCCGCCGCCGCCCGTTGGCTCGAGCAAACCCTCCCGCCTTCGCTGCCTGCCAGGCGGCTTCCGCGGGACTCCTCACCCCCCCGCCCCATACCCCCAGCCACCGCCAAGCCCCGGACACGGGCGGCTGGAGCCCCCGAAGCCGTCGGCACACTCCCTCCCGCTGCCCTTCCCGGTACCTTGAACTCGGCGGAGGCAAACCCCAAGCGGCTGGGCCCTTCTCGGCCGACCCGCGCCGCGGAGGAAGCGCCTTTGAGGGGAGAAGAAAGCGAGCGTGTGAGGAAAGGGGGGAGAGCTGCGGGGAAGGGGGAGGAGAGGAGGGGGAAGGAGAGGCTGCCAGGCCCCAGGCAAGGAAGGGCTGGGCTTGGCCCGCAGAGAGGGAGATTTCCGCCTCGCTCCCCCGCTGAGCTCACAGACGAGGCGGGGCCGCCTGGGGGTTGAACCCGGTGTCTGTCCGGCGGCGGCGGCGGCGGCGAGGAAGGAGGAGGAGGAGGCCTGGTGCGCAGGGGAGGCAGCGAGGGCGGCATTTTCTCTTAAAGTTTGTCTTCTCCCTGCGTGGCGGCGCGTCCAGGGGGAGGACTTCGGGATCCAGGCAGCCCGGCTTTGCTCCTCCGAAGGAAGGAGACTCGGGGAGAGCGACTTGCTCGCAGAACACGGCCGGGTTGCATTTCCCTTCTCGCTGCCCAACCGTCTGTGGGTCCCGCTGGACAAGAGCAAAGCCCTCCTTGGGAAGATCAGAGAAGGAAGTGCCTTCCAGAGGCCGCGGCTAGTCTTGTCTTCGCTCCCATAAATATACCTAGGAGGTTTTGTGCCTTTAATCTTTGGCCCAGGAAAGGAAGAGGGGCCGCAAAGGACCAGCTGGTCCCGAAGCGGAGGCCTTGGGGGAGTTCTCGCTAGTAAGTCGTGGTAACATTTGCTCCAGGGTGGAAAAAGCGCCTGGCAGCGTGAAATTTGCTGGTCCCTTTGCCCTCCCTTTCTGGTTTCTTTGGATTCCAGTAAGGGCTGGTATCCTGATAGTCTTCCAAGATAAGGAATGACAAAGCTTGATAGATTTTAGAGAACCTTTATGGATGGCGGACTTTAACTCCCAGAATTCAGCTGCTACTGCTGTAATTCATGGGTTGGGACGAGAGGAAGGCAAGATCGTGGGGAAATGACAGAAAAAAGTTTGACAGGCCAGTTTCTGGTAAAATGCAAGGAGAGATGCAGCCTAATACACCTGTCTGCTTGTCCTACGTTGGAATTCGTCTTTTTAAAATATATATGTATACTTTATACCCTCACAACTTTGGCCTTACAATTGCAGATTAACATAGTGATTAGATATCCTAAATACCAAGGACCATCTTGTCTCTTAGTAAAAACTTAAAATTTGGAATAATTCTGTTTCTTACCTTTCAAGTCAGCTTGAATGAATTATTTTATTTATCACTTGTTCTCACCCACCTGGATGAGAACAAGAAAAAAATGAGCAAATTATAATCCATAAACCACCTCTTAACACTTGAAATAGCTGTATTTTATTTAGTTATACTGACACTAGTAATTTATCAATTTTGGAACTTTCAAAACAATACTTTCTCACATTGATCTAAAATTGTGCTGCTTTTCTCAAAAAAAATATAAATGTAGGTTCTGCCTTTCCCTAACCTGAACATTTTCTCAGGAACTAAAAAAAAACCAGATTATAAATTTATAAAGTGTGAATACTATTCAAATCTAAATTCCCAGTACTGGGACCTGAAAATTTGAAAACACATTTGGATCCTCTGATTTATGAATAATCAACTATACAAAGGACCTAATAAGATGAGCATCTGATTATCTGGAAATAAAGTCTCAGTAGGATTTGTACTGACTTTGTAGACCAATTTGTAGACCAACCTATCAAATTCTGTACTGGCAGGGCAGCATCAAATTTCTTCATATAAATTAATCAAAATAACATAAGCAAATCAGCAGTTTCTTATCTGATATCCAGCAGAACTCTAGTACTGCCTCAGCTATCAGTTGCATAACAAATAGGGTTTGCAGAATTCTCTGCCAAAGTTTCTGTTTTTATTCCTACTGAAAAGGATGGAGTTAAAGATTCCTTTGTTCATTTTTCATTGCTTTGGCCCTTCAACCATACCTGAGGTAGCCATATGTTTGCTTTACTAAAGGCACACCTCTGCTTAAGAGTCTTTAGAGAACAGTTCTTTGACAGCATTTTCTATTTTGAGTCCCGTCTGAATCTATTTAAAAGTATAGACAGCAGACTAAGGAAGCACCAAGATCATCTAGTGACAGTCTCCCTCCACAATGGTGAGATGTATTAAATGTAAGTTATATTTATTTCTCCATTTGTATCTATACACAATAAACACTTGCAAATTATGTGGAAATGGTGTCTTCTTTTTGGTAACCGATTTCCTCTTCTTTGGCAAAGCAATTTCTGTCTTGGCTCTAGTTCAATTAAAATGGTGGTTCAGCTCAAAGTTAATTGTGAATGAGTCATCTGAATAATCCCCCAAAATTTAGTTGTCAGTGTTGTTTTTATGGAATAAGATGATAAAGATATTTTTTTCACTAGAACAGCAAAGACAGTTTAGGAAATTCTAAAGATGGCTAACTATCTTGTGTAGCCAGCTTAGAATTAATATATAAAACTCAAAGGCTGTATTTTCGTTCTTACTATACTAGCTTATTTCAAAGTATTTAAAAATAAAGGAAACTTTTCCTCCATTGTGCCTTGCCCCTCCTACTGCTGTTTTGATAGATTTTGAGAAATGTTGATGTTAAATATGTAGCTTCCTTGTAAAACACAACATTACTAGAGATAACAAGAATTCAAAGTAGCATAGACTATTTTATGGGCTCAGTGTCTCTGAAATGTAAAAGGATTGATTATTGATACACTCCAATGAGGCAATACATGCACCAAATTCCTTGTGTGTCCAAGCACACTTGGCCAGTAAAGAATTCTATTCTAGTATTCTATTTCTTACTCAGGGCAACTCCATCTAGTTGCATTAATCCAAATAACCATCAGAGGTCAGAAACAAATATAGAAAACTCTTTCTTTGCTGCCATTTAACAGTCAGTTGAATTACTTGCAACACTATCCAACCTATCTATTTTTAAATTTTTGATTGCATGTCATGTTATACATTACTTTTTATTTTCTAAATTTTATTCCATAAGTAAGCAAAACATATTTCAGAATTGTTCTGAAGGTTTGTTCCTTTAGGATTTTACTTGGGCCACAGAATCGGATTTAATAGCAAATAAATATTTTTTAAAAATCAGATTTCTCAATAAAGGCTATTGAGAGCTATTTTCCTTAATAAAAAAAAATCATACATGGAAAAACAAAAAATATAGACTAATGTATTATGGTTGGATTTTAATTTTCACTTCAGTGCAAGTATCTTAAAAGCAATTGTTAAGCATAGAAATTAACTGATTCCATGAATATGTACTGTTTTAGAGCTGGTGGTTTACATGGAGGAGGAAATAGCAAGATAAGAGACTTTTGAGTAAATCCTGTAAAAATCATGCAGAATGCATGATCACATTTTGAAATAGAAATCAGCAGTTAGTCAAATTTGTATTTCTAAAGAATGAAATAAGGTTTTTAAAAAAAGTCCCAAATAACATCATCAAAGCAACAGTTTAACAACAGGATATCACAAGCCAGACAATATTTTAGAAACTCAAGAACAATATAAATTCATTAAAAAATATTCTAAAGAGAAAAAAGAAAGTAAAATCCTAAGCTGCATTGCAGAAAAGCTGTAAGGGAACAAATAAAACAGCAAAATAAGTAAACATTCACTCATATTTGTAATCATGTTTTACGAAAATACTTATAGACCCTCATAAATTTGTTTGCAATACCAGGCATCCATTATATAACTTACTTAATGGGACTGCATGGTGGCAGTGCAATTCTACCATATGTCTACTCAAAAGTAGCAGTTATTAAGTCCAAGAGAGTTTATTCTAAAAACCATTGTAATCTCATGATTTTCCAAATGTTTTTTTAACTAGTAAATATATTATGAGCTATATAGAAAGAAATTACCACGGTTGGCAAATATTTATGTACCATCAAACCACAAATATTAGAAAAGATTAAGAACAAAGTGGCATTGTTTAGATCCACTGTTTTAGATCATAGAAGACTGCCATAGTAATGAAATGATTTAATGGAAAATGTGATAGGTTTATTGCACAATTGAAATAATTTGTTGGATTCATAAGATTTCAGACTATTTTTGCAAATTAGTTAAACGGAAAAAAAGTTGAGTGCTAAAAGAGAAAAGATGAATACATAAAAATTTGAACAATATTGCAGTTCTGATGTATTATAATAGGGTTGTAATATTAACAGGAATTTATATCACAATCATGTTTCCATGTGCAGCAAGATTTTATCCACACATCGATCACTTCTTGACTTTAGGCTATCGCAAAGATTAAGACATAGCTGGAATAACATTTTATGGGTTATTTTTCAATAACCAAATAAGTAAGATTTGCTGAACTAGGCTATTGTCCATTTCACCAGAATTTTTTAAAATATTAAAATAAAAAAAGTGGAGATTGTGAGCCAGAGCGCTACTACAAAATTAGTGGGACTTTAAAGCAATTAATTTCATTCTAGAAAACCAGGGAACCCTGGCAGCAGTGAGCAAGACCTTGTGAACTAAAATATGACTATCATAAGATCATAAAAACAGGTAATACCTTAAAAGGAAAATATCTTGTTTCAGTTGCCACAGTATAAACCCCTGATTCCTCTACAGCAGCTAAATAAAAGTAAGGATAAGGCACTATGGTGGTAGTGTTTTTTACCATGAGACAATACATACCTTAAATTGGAGTAATTTGACAGGAAATATTGTTAGCAGGAATCTAGAAAAAGGGAAGATATGCTGGTATATGTAATCTTCCTCGCATTCACCTTTCTGTAGCAATATAATAAGAGGAAATTATACATGAAAAAGCCAAAGGTAAGACATTTAATTAAAAATAGGTAGGGCACAGGAAATCCTCCAACTTATAATTAACTTATGAATACCTTGCACTGGCCATTGTATAAATTAATCAAATATTAATAGAAATACAGGATATAAAGGAGAAACCTATCCACTGCTGCTTTGGGTAAAAGCCAAAAATTAAAACACTTATTCAAATATCTGTAGGTCACTAGGAGTTGAAAATGAATTGATGGCACATAATATTGGTTCAAAACTAAAAGATAGTAAAACTATCATACCACGTCTTGTAATATCATGGCACATCTTGTTTAAGAACAAACTTCTCAGACACATGTGGGTAATCCATAATCACACACAAATATGTACCTATGATGATCTGATTAAA